TGCGGGAATCGCGGTCCCCGGGGGGAGGGGGGGGGCGGGGAATATTTGCCGTCCGATCATAAAGGGGAAACACGACGTTTTATAATTAGCGTCGTGCCCCTGAATTATGTCGCGTCAAACGACCGAGACGTTAATCAAACAACGGCGCAGCATTCACATCCGGCGGGATGATTTACCGCGGGCGATTGCGTGCGGTCGACGGACGTAATAAATTTTTACGTAACGTTAAGTTCGACAGCTAGACAGATGCATTTCGCAGCGTTCGAAATGAGATCGGAGTCTGGTCAACAGACGACAACTTTTGACCGGTCCTTCTTTTTCTCGCGACTCGCGAAGGAGAGTAAAAGACGGCGAAAAGAGGAGAGGCAGAGACGGGGAGAGAAAGATAGAAATGGCGAATGCACCTGTATTTTTGCATCTTACTCTGGGCGTTAAAAAAGAGCCAAGTGAGTTATGGGCATTCAATTGCTTCCGTCGCAATTACACTCGACAAACGCGCAATTCTGCAAGAGTCTAATTAGAATAAATAGTTACATGGTATTTCTTGCGGAAAACACATATGTGCACAAGATAGGAACGCCTTTTCGAAACTCTCCGCGTTTTTACGTCGAGACATTAACGAAACAGACCAACGTGGCGTACAGTGATGGACAGAATGGTTGCGACACTTTTCTTTAACGAGTTTACGAACGTGCATTTAGATTGAAGGTTACGTTTAAAATCTTCTTCTTCGAGGAATATTTTACTCGAACTATTCCAAAACCATTTTGAGCGATCTATATTTCTCGAGTTGCTAAACTCATTAAAAACAGTGTCGCAACTCTGTCCAACACTATACTTTCCATAATTGCATATAATTGCAACTCAAATTAAAATAAATGCTAAGAGCTTCGTCGTACGAAGGTAGAAAAAATTGAAAATGTATGTTGTAGTTGTAAGTTTTATCTATTGGTACGCGAAGTTTTAGTCTCGGTCGCCGATGAAATAAAAGAAAGAAAAAATATTAAAGTTGTGCCTTTTAACTTCTCAGTAAACACCAGGTAACAGTTACATAACATCAGTATTGTAATTTCCTACTCAACAAGATAAATGTGATATAACACTCATGTTACATTACATTTTTTTGTTAAGATCTACTTTTTAAGTTAGGATTACATGTTGTATTACATTTACATTGTTAAGTAGGAAATTGTAATATTGATATTATATAACCATTACGTAGAATTCACTGGGATAGGGATTATGGGTTAATCCCTTTGAGACTTGACATCACATATTTTTAAATATGTTTTTAAATGTGCATATATAACCTAGGATATCAATGCACCTGATCAATAATGCATTGAGCAGGGTTGGAAAAAATCCACATTTTTTAAATAAAATCCATGCCAATGGTAAAAAAGTTTTTGCTGGTTTTTTCCGAAAAAAAAACCCCAGCAAAAACCGATCTTCCCTATTAAAAACGATAAGATAAGTAGAAAGCTTTTAGAAAGCACTGCAGAAAAGTATTGTTTCCCGCATGAACTAAAAATTAATATAAAATTTTGTATCTCCGAGGTTCTCGTTTTAAAAATATGCATTAATTTTAATAAAATAATTTTTTTAATTAAAAACCTATTGTATTTCTCTTAACATTTTTTAAAGAGGATAAATTTTAAGAAAAAGTTCTCTCCGTGTACACTGTCTATGTAGATCGGTATTTATTTCGTTCAGAATTATGAAAACTTTGTCAAGCATTTCCTCATTTCCCAATATTGCCTAAAATTTGTACACCTATTACCGAATGCGGTGGACCCCTTGGAGTAATTTCATTCAATTAGTAATTTTACGGGAATGCCGGGAAGCAATCGTTGGCAATTAATTGTACCAATTAAGTAAATAATTTGATCAATTTCGAATACAGCGAAGTCGTTACTCGGGAGCGCAGGAATTGCTGCATTATGCCGTAATGGTGCAAAAAATGGGCAAAATCGACGATTCTTTCAACAGATTAAGGAAATCGCGACTGGATTCCGCGTACTGCACGTCCATCCTTGGACGCGACGGTTACGTAATTGCCCGGCGGCGACGGTTTGCGGCAAAATTCCTAGGTCGATCCGATGCGTCCGGCAATAGCGAGATCAATAACGTCGCGTCGTGCCACATCATTGACGGGGCGACTTGACGGAAGATCGTGCAAACGTTCTCTCTAAAGTTTTTTTGAGTGAAATATTTATTCCGTTGGAATAAATATTCACTCCAAAGATTTTACAGAGCATGTTCCCGGCAAAAGAGGATGAAGAAGGGGCTGCGAGAAAAAGGGGTCTGGTTCTACGGTTCCTTTTCCTTCCCATTGTTTCCCCAAAATCTCGAGGCCTCGTTATCAGTTACGTTCAAGATCACGGTTATCGCGCGGTCGCGATAGAGCGATTTATCGATCCGCCAGCCAGGATCGAGAGACGCGATTAGCAAGACGGTAATCGACGATACTCGAACGTCTTCTCCTGGAAAGCTCGGATCAATGTACTGGAAAAAACACATAGTGCTATCCGAGACCCCGAGATCTCGGGTGAAATCGCGAGACTCCCACGGGGAATTGTTGCGCCCGTTCCGGTATCGGAAATCCGTCTCGACACCGCGATCGACCTTGGAGCGTCAACCTCCGACCTGGTTTTCGCGGGGACCGCGATCCGAAGCGACGCTCTTCCAGAGATAATCCGTAATGCGGATCAGGTGAGGTACGTTAACCAAGGTTAGTGCTAAATCACACCGCGATCGGCTGTTTACCCCGCGACGATTACGTCAGAGCGTACGGGATTCGCGCCGCTTATAGCGAATTCGATTGCTTGCACTAGTGCGCACTGAGTGCGTACACTAAGTGTGCACACCTGTTTATAGTCAATTTTTATATGTAACGTTGTCTCAAATGCACGTTCAGAGAGTATTTAGCCAGAAAATGAACCGCATGGACGTTATAGAAATCATTTTACTGGCTACAAAGTATTTCAAAAAATATTTAAGGCAATCCTCAAATATAAGAATTGACTGTAAACAAGCCTGTCAATATTTTTATATATTTAACGTTCTCTCAAATGCACGTTCAAAGAGTATTTAGCCAGAAAATGATCCGCATGGACGCTATAAAGATCATTTTACTGGCTACAAAATATTTCAAGAGATATTTAAGGCGATCCTCAAATATAAGAATTGACTGTAAACAAGCTTCAGTGCGAACACCTGTTTATAGTCAATATTTTTATATTTAACGTTGTCTCAAATGCACGTTCAAAGAGTATTTAGCCAAAGAATTATCCGCATGGACGCTATAGAGATCATTTTACTGGCTACAAAATATTTCAAGAGATATTAAAGGCGATCCTCAAATATAAGAATCGACTGTAAACAAGCCTTAGTGTGCACTCGGTGCGCACCGGTGCAGGCAACCGAATTCGCTATTAGAAATTCGAGTGATTATCGCGTCCCGTCTGATTAACGAGACACGGCAATTAAACGGCAAGACGTGGCCGTCACGTGGATTTTCTTCCGCGCGTATTTAGAGCTGCGCGCGACGCGCGATTATTGCGATTTACGTGGAGGTCGAACCGGGAGGATTAATTGGGCCGCTGGCTGAAGATTTCAATAAGTTAAATTCACACTTCGCCGAACACACATCTATATATAGACCGAGAGGTGCACCTGCGACAGGTGCGCGCCGTCAATGCGTCAATCTCCACCGGGGGAGAACGTTGCTGCTGAATTGTCGTGGGAGCGTCGAAGCTTATCGCGCCTGCAATTAGTTAAGTCGCCCGTGAAAAAGATTCTGGCTGTTCCTAAATCTTTTATCGTCCGGGAATTTCCACGTCACTTATCGTTTTATACGAACGACCGTTCTCAAATGGCTCGAGGATTCACGGTCGTTTGATTTCCTATTTCATTGCAGCTCTGCGAGGGGAGCGGGAAAATAAACGTTTATACTTCAAAAATGAACGGAATGTCCATTAGAGAGAAAAAAAAGGACTTACCGTTGGTCCAACTATTATATCTTTGGGACAAGGTTTCACTATTTCTTCCTAGATTACGTTTCACTCACAAAGGGAGGAGAGATCACTTTAATCGTACCGCGGTACGTTTGAAGGTCGAAGCTCGCGAGGAGTGGAACAAATACAACCTTATATTGTTAAAACAAACTATCAAGTCTCCATTAGAGCAAAAGAACTCATCTTTGGACTTATCGCTAGTCCAACTAAACAGCGTTTCCGTTTCATCATAGATTACGTTTCACTTAACGAAAGCACGAAAGCGAGGGGGGAAACCGCCGAGGGCATTGTGTACAGATTTGCGGCATTACTGGGCATTACTTTGGGCATTACAAAGATAAAATAAGGTAGAATAAGATGAAATAAGACGATAAGATAAAGTGATGCCCAGTGGGCATAAGTGGGCATTGGTGTACAAGATTTTGGTCAGCGGTTTCCCCCTCGGGCGACAGATAACTTTGATAGATTCCTCTCGCTCAATAGAAAGAATGTAATTTATGACGCACGACGAATCGCGACTCCAGTCGATTGCGTACAATCGGCGATGCAAGACTAATTGTAACCGGCGATTCATCGCAAAAATTGAACAGTAGTCGGAGCAGAAAAAGCGCCTGCGACAAAATGATATATTTGAGAGGCGAGGACTGTCTCGCGAGCCTGATCTGATCATTTTTCAGTAGAACTTCCGTGAGCTCGCCCCGAAAAGCCCCGTAGTTTTCGTAAAGAAAGAAAACAGCTGCGCCTACCCAGATAAACAGCAGGGGTCCACTGTCACTGTCAGTTTTTAGTCAAAATGTCACATGCCCCATTGCGTCCCGCTGATTCAGTCTCCACCTATAATACAAGTTTCCCCGATCCGGTCTTTTCTGCGCCGGGCGACGATGGGATCAACAATTGGACCTACGTCAACGCGTAGCGCCGCCGACAAACGAGTCGGGGGATCCGGGCCTATGCCTAAACGTACACAAGCGGGGTCTCCCTCACCTGCATGTTGTGCTCCACGATGTACTCGATGGAGCACATCTGGTAGACGACGTAGGCACGCATCAGCTCCATGGTGGTCTTGCTCTTGAACGCGGCAATCGGGTCGTTAAACTTCAAGTCGAGCGGGTCGATCTGCCGAGGCGCCGTCGATTGTTGCTGCTGCCGTTGCTTCCTGACGTCAGCGGCGGCGGCGGCGGAGGAGGAGGAGGTGGCATAGGCACGCACCTGTGCAACCAGCCGCAGCGACGTCGGTGCCCTGGTAACCGTTGCTGCCGCCGTCGTCGTCGCCGCCGCCGCCGCGTTCTCCAGGAGGCCGATCACGGCCAACGGCGGCGCGCCGCACTTGGCCAGCTTCTTGCCGGCGCAGCATCGTCGTGGCACACTCCTCAGAAACGCCATCGTTTTCGGCGCGCGGCAGCGAAAGGTAGGCGGACGAGAAAGAGAGATGAAGGACAGGAGGTGTAGAGAGGGGGGGGAGAGAGAGAGAGAGAGCGAGAGGGAGGGAGGGAAGAGCGATTTATTGGCGAGCGAGAGAGACCGTCGGCGACGCGGCTTCCGCGCCACCCGAACGGGATACCGCCTTCTCACCGAGGCTGGCTTGGCTCTCCCTCAGGTTGACGGACGGAGCACTGAGGGACGGGAATGAGAGAAAGAGAGAGAGAGAGAGATATGGATGGGGAAGAGGAGCGGAGGACGAGTCGCGACAACCGCGCGGATAATCGGCTCGCCGACGACGGCGATGCTCGGAGTAGATCGAACCTTTCGAGATCGAGCCGGGCGAGGCTCCCCCGGAGCGAGGCTTATCGGCGCGATGCGCAGGAAACGGGGATCCTGCCGTTGGCGCCGCCGCTGGTCGATGTCGGGCTCGCTCCGTCTCTTCTCGGGAGTACTCACTCGGTGACGTGCGCGCGTGTCCGGCGACGTACGTACGTGCGTGCAGGGAGTCGCGAAGCGAAGCGACGCGGCGCGACTGACCGACCGGTGCTTCGACGACGGCAGCGGCTCCCGTCGTCGTGACGCCCGTCGACGTGTGTGTGTGTGTGTACGTGTGCGCGAGAGAGAGAGCGCGCGCGAGTAACAGCACGGCAAATGGCGACCGGCCGCCTGTACTCTCTGCCTCGCGACGCGACGGAAATATTGATTTTCGCTCGCCGGGGACACCGCGTTCACGACTTACGTACGTACCCGTGGCCACCGGATCCGCGGACGGCTCAAATATAACGCGCCGCGCCGCGCCGATCGGAATTGGTCGGCGCGCGCCGCCGACGCCGCCGCGCTCCCGCGACGCCGATTGGCCCGCCGGCGGAGGTGTGCGCTCGCGGCCGCGGCTCGGATTGGCTGCTCCTCCCTCCCCCCAGAGGCCCCTTTTCCGCGCGATCGACGATACGTGCGCGGTGACGCGTTGCGCACAGTGGCGCCGAGTTGCTCGGAGTTATTTCCGTCTGTGTGAGATTGGCGTTTCGAAGAAATAATTGAAAGGGAATAGCGGAGTCGTTCTCCATCATGGACGTAGGAAATATTTGAGCGGAGAGTAAATACCATTACGGACGCGGCAAGTTGGCTCTGAAGGGTGAGGGGAATCTACCGTCGCGGCCATCTTGGTGCCGGACATTTAGGCCGGTATTCATGGTCAGATCTTTATTCAAGACCTTATATTCAAGACCGTCTTGAATTTATCCAAAGATGCTGTACGGAATGTTGCATTGGCTACGGAGTATCTAAAGATAATCTTAAGATCTTGTTGCCGGTTATGTTCCCCCTTTTCGATTTTTCGGGCAATAATTATCGGAAATTCAGATTCTAGGAATTCTCGGAAATATCAATTGCATTCTTGGAATTTTAGATAGTGCGACCTCTTTGCTGATCATGTTCTCCTGATACTTTGTCAGTTTTCTAGAGTCTTCAGACCTGTATGTAAGGGTACTATTACATTTGTCGTACGA